CCAGTTGGCAGAGGATTGGAAGTTCTTTTCTACCTGGACTGTCTGTAACAACCATATGCAGAAAAAAGGCTACCATATACACATATGGAAGAGGCAGGTCATGAGTCTTGTAGGCCAGTGCTTTTGAGGAGATGCCTGTTCTCTGCTCACAAGCCCATTCTCATTCTCAGAAGCACTATCTCTTTCTTTCTAAACTGTCTAGTTTTATGTCCCCGGTACAATCCTTTGTCCTGGTATATAAGAGCCTGGAAACCCGAGTAGGTGCTCCTGGGACGCACCTATAAAAACAAGGAGGCCTTGTGTATGCCAGGCAAATGCTTTGATGCTGACCCTCATTCCCAGGCTAGAAATTGGTTTCTGAGTCAGATCACCATGGAATAATGGCAAGAATTTGATCTATGGTTTCCTGTTCCTCAGAGGTAGTCTGCTTTTAAGTTACTCTGGAACATTAGAAAGGCAGTGATTCACCTAAGGACATGTAGAAAGCTGGCCTCTGTCTGCCTCTTCTCCCTTCTCATTCAGCTTATTGTTTTCATCCACCTCTGCTTGGGAAGTTTCCATCAGAACTGATGCCCACTTTCTAGGCCTCAGCCTCTGTGGCAGTTACTTCTCTTGACTACCTCCGCAAAGTCTTTTTCTTGGTACTCTCTTCATGGTAGTTGCCTCTCTCGTCATTTCCACCTCCCCTTCACTAAGCACTGCAGAATCTGTAGATTCCTGTTTGTATTTCAATATTGGTGTTCTGCAAATTCTTTCCATCTGACTGTCATTTTCTGGATGATTTTTCCCGTAGCTTCTAATATCTCCATGGTGATAATTCTAAATTCCTCATCCAGGGGCCAGTGAGATAGTTTTGTGGGCAATGGTGTTTGCCACCAAATGTGACAACTTGAATTAGATTCTTAAGCTCTATGTGGTGGGGGTTCAAGGTGGCCAGTGTGGAAGGCAGAGAAGGGTGCAGCGCCTGTAAGCTGTGGAGGTCAAGCCTTGATGTTCTGGAAGCTGAACCAGGAGGATTTGAAGCAGAAGATGCCTGAGGATGTCATCTCCTCCATTCAGACTCCCTCATCTATGCATGTGGCTCTGCTGGGAGTCACTCCATATATCTTAAAGCATATGAAGATTGGGAGTCACATGTGGATGCATGACATGAAGAACCAATGACAGTTTCTCCTGTGTGTAGAGGACTTGGCCCAGAAAAGGGTAAGAATGATTGAATGGACATAAAAATTCTACCTGTTAAGAACAAGTTGGGCTGTGGGAACTGACATTCATAGCTGAAATATAGAAAAGACAAAAAGATGTCTTGTGGTTATAGTCTGTCCTTAGGCCTGTGGTGTCTACTTCTGTGAGTGCTGACGGAATTGTCAGTAATAGCAAACTGTAAGGGGATTATGTCTGAAATAGCGCTGTCTTGGCAGTCATTTCTGTTTACATCTCTTCTTCTGTTCAGAGTGTGTTTATGAAGAGTCTGACAGAAGTCTGCATATGCTCACAATGACCATCAGTCTATATTTTTAGTAAACATCCAAGTGGTGGAAGAAGAGACTCAATTTCTGCAAGCTGTCTTCAGACCTCTATGAACATGCTATGGCATGTACCACATACACAGACCCATACACACACAAAATAAATGAGTAAATAGTGTTAAAAAAATAAATTACTCATCCATTGCCCATATTTAATTGCTTTCTGGTCATTATCCAGACTAGCTTGTTCTAAATTACCTTGTGGGTGAAACTGAAATAATTTTTGAAACTTTTAAAAATCTCTCTCACATCCTGATTCTTTGTGTATAACTGCTGTGTGTATCAGTGTGTATGGCTGTGTGTGGGGGCCAGAGGTTGACTTTGTCATGTGCCTTCCTTAATCACTCTCTACCATACTGTTTGAGACAGGATCTCACTGAACCTAAAGCTTGCCAATTTGGCTCAACTTCCTGGCCAGAGAGCCTCCCATCTCCATCTCCCCAGTGCTAGGCTCAGAGGTGCAGACCTCCATGCCTGGCTTTTTCATATGAGTGCTAAAGATGGAACTCAGGTTCTCAGGCTTACTCAGCAAGCACATTACTGGTTGAGTCATCCCCCTATCCCACATTCTGGTTCTTAAAGAGGTTCAAATCCATTTCCATTACCATAGTCCCCTCATCTTACCCCTCCCTGTCCATGTTAGAATCCACTCCGATGTGCTCATTCTTAATGGTTACCTAATATCCACCCTTGCCTTGCTCCATCCCACACAATCTGGTTCTAACCTCACTCTCTTCTCTCCTCAAGGCTGGGACAAGTCAGCAAACACTGGGCCCTTTTTGTTGTTAGTTTAGCCTTCTTAGAGTCTCAAAACTTGCCAAACCTGACTATATCCTAAGTCAACACCAGAGATACTGGGAAATTTTTCAGTTACAGTCACACTGGAGATTACCCTCACTGGCTCCAATTCTCCCATTGTGGTGGTAAGCAAAGCTGAACACTTATTTAAGTGCTGAGGCACAAAAGTGACTAAAACCATCCTGAGTTTAGACTCCAACCCAGTGGGATGAGGAAGGAGAAGAGACCTGTGTAAAGTAAGGACTTTGATTTTACGATGATAGTATGGCGCTCAGGGGAGGGTTGTGCTATTTAAAGACATCTGTACCATCTGAACTCATGGTCCACACTGAATAGGGAAGCTCTTGATTGTATTTGGTTAAGAAAATAGTTTGCATTTTGTGCTAATATTATGAAAGCCTTCATTTCTCTTTCTTGAGACAGGGTCTCAAATATCCCAGGCTGGCCCGGAACTCACTGAGATCCGCCTGCCTCTGCCTCCTGAGTGTGGGGACTAAAGGTGTGCACCACCTTACCTGACTCTTTTGGAGCCAGGTTCTCACTCTAGCCTAGGCTAGCCTGTAGCACTACACCAGGTTCTCACTCTAGCCTAGGCTAGCCTGTAGCACTACACCCAACAAAAACTCCCCACTTTCTTCACTTCCTTCACCCCCTTGAAGGTAAGATTTCAATGCAAACACGTGAGAACAATTGCGGTAATGAAACTGTAGTGACTGACAGGCTTACCCCATGTCCCTGCCACCCAGTCAAACAGGAAGGTCACTTCTCCCTTATAGTGACTGCAACTGCTGTCCCAGATAGTCTCCTTCAAAA